CTGAGAATGGGGGAAACAACATTTGGACAGAAGGAATTATTCTAACTTGATCGAGAGAACTGGAAAAAGAAGAACAGTTGAAAAAAGCAGCGAAATTCATAGGCTGAAGTTCCACAAACAAATGTTTCTAAAGCAGCTCACTGACCTCTTATTCCCCTTCATTTCTAATTACTGCCACTTTCCCTACTCCTCACTAGCACTTATGCACCAACTCTTTTTTTTGCTTGTACAAAAAAGTACAAGTAGACGAGTTGAATTTCAAAATAATTAAAATTACCTATCAAAAATCGTGTTTCTCTTTAATTGGATCAATTTCCATTGATATAAACAACTATGTTATTAATTTCACTGAGGTACCCAAGCACCTGAAATGAGGTGGAATATCTCCATATCTTAAATATTTTTGCTTGCTGCCTTCTACATTTCACAGTCAGTCAGAATATTAGTGGAGCCATAAGCAATAAAGAACAAAAATATGGCACTCAAATATATTCTGAAGATCTTTCACCATTGCTTTTCTTGCAGGAAGTTGAAAGCTCAGAAAACTTTCAAAGACACAAAAAAACCTGAAGAAAACCTGGTTTAATGTTTCTTTTCATTTCTATACTATCCCTCCTCTTTTAGCATTATGTTAAAAAAAAAGTTATAAAATGTTTATTTTTGCCATCTGTGGTTGCATGCATGATTACCACAGAAACAGACTCAAATATGCAATAATGTAGGAGTATCACTTTTATCCTGCATAAGTCATTGGCAAAAGTTCTTGTAAAAAGACTCTATGCATCAGTAGTTGAGCAACTGAGGATTATGTATTTTCTTTACATGCTGTCCTTTTTTAGCATATTTGAAAAACACATAGTAAGACAGCTAAAAAAGGAACAAGTGATGAAAGTGGTCCATTTAATTTACATATGAGGAAATCAGAGATTATAAAGTGAGAAAAAAAGTTGGGCAAAACCTAATGTTTTATATGAACATTAAAATTATTCTAGAAACCATACACTTACTACATTCAGGCAGGCTTCAATAGAACCAGAGTGGCTGTGATCCCTAAATAAGTTACAGCTACTTCTGTTTAAACTCTTTTTAGCTGTAAACAAATTTGTGAAACCAGTTTATTATCACTAAATAAAAGCTTGGGGAGGCATTTTTTAATATAAATAAATTCATGTTTCTTCACAAATTAAACTAGTAGATTTCCCTTTCCACAGCCTCTCATTTTCCAATCTGTTAAAAAGGTCTCTGACTTCTAGAGGGAATTTCTGTCACTTAAAATACTTACATTTTCAGTCTTGCATAAGAAAACTCTTTTCATCCTTTCTTTGCTAATGTTAAGAAATTACAGATCATTGAAATATGCTTCCCTTTTCCAGATGATTTCTCCTAAATTTAACTAGATGATATGCCAGTCTTGTTAGAATGAGGGCATTTTTCACAATAAATTTTTAGAAGAAATAATGTAAATCTGAAAAATTGTACTCCTGTTATTATAGATAATTCCTCTGATTCCTACCAATTCATTTCCTTTCTTCTGTTTGTTAATCTTACAGCAAACAGCTGTGAGATACTGTGTCAAACCTTTTTTTCCTCTTTATTTTTCACTTCTGTCAGCAGGGCTTTTTGTTAGTAAGGATAGTGAGGAACACAGTTGCTGTAATGTTGACAGTAGCTACCTAGCTGACTTCCCACCACTTAAATATTTTCAACCTGAACTAAGTTTAAATAACTCTCTTCACACTTTTAAATATACACCACTGAAAAAGCCTTATTTTAGAAATACATATTCAAGTCAGCCAAAGCAAAAGGGACAATACTGTTTTAAACAAACGTCGAACTGGGGAGACACTGATTTCTTGGAGCAACCCTGCCAGCAGCACCTGCTGGGACTGAGATACTCTGGGCAGAAAAGACCAGCTAATGGCTGGCACGGTGGGTGACAGGAGAGCAGCAGATGTTGTTTATCTTGGCTTTTGCAAGGCTTTTGACACTGTTTCCCATAAAATCCCCATAGACAAACAGAAATGGACAGTGAGATGGGCTGAAATCTGGCTGAACTGTTGGGCCCAAAGGGTTGCGATCAGCATGAAGTCCAGCTAGAGAAAAGAGTACAGAACTATGCTGCTGGTGGACCCCAGGGATCAGCACTAGGGCCAGTACCTTTTAACCACTTTACTAATGACCACTTCACAGTGCACTCTCAGCAAGTTTCCTGATGACGCCAAATGGAAGGAGTGGCTGATGCACCAGCTGGTTGCACTGGCATTCAGAGGGACCTTGAAAAGCCTAAGGCATAAACCAAAAGGAATACTGTGAAGTTCAACAAAGGGAAATACAAAGTCCTGCACCTAGAGAGGCATAACCCCAAGCACCAGAACGCAATGAGGGATGATCAGCTGGGAAGCGATTTCGCAAAAGAAAAACCTGGGGGTCCTGGTGGGCTCCAAATAGATCATGAGCCAGCAGCGTACCCTTGAAGCAAGGAAGGCCAGTAGCATCTTGTGCTGCATTAGGAAAAAATGTTGCCAGTAGGTCAAAGGAGATCATCCTTCCCCTCCACTCAGCACTGCTGAGACACGTCTGGAGGGCTATGTCCACTCATGGCCTCCCAAGTATAAGCAAAACATAAGCATCCTATAAAGCAGTCCAGTGTAGGACTGCCAAGAAGATTAAGGGATTGGAGCATCTGACGTGGTGAGACTGAAAGCACTGGGACTCTAGCCTCCAGGAGATCTTCCAGGAGATCTTATCAATGTGTAGAAATAGCTGAGGGGGACAGGGTAAACAACATTTCTCAGTGGTGCCCAGCAACACGGCAAAATGCAAGGGGCACAAACTAAAACAGATTAAATTCTACCCGAACAAAAGAAAGCACTTTTTTACTCTATGGTTGTTCAAGCACTGGAAACAGCTGTCCAAGCAGCAAGCTGCTTTAGTTGATCCTGCTTTGAGCAGTGGGGGTGTTGGACTAGACAATCTCCAGACATCCTTTCCAACCTCAGGTATCCTATGGTTTTTTTGTGGAAGAGTCAAAAGGAGGGAAACTACATCTGAGTAATGTGGACTATGGACTTAATATCAGTTGTTTTCTATGCAAACACCAAGCCTTCAATAAGATAAAACAGTTCCCTTGTACATCGGTTGCTTGTGTCTGATTGCATTATATGAAGTCAAGTTGTTTATCTGACTTAGGAAAAGTCTCATTGTGCAGGTACAACAAAACAAGCTCTTTTTCTCTCCCATGCGTTTCCTGATGGCCAAGCCTGTAGGTCTAACCAGTATGAGAACTACCTAACATAGATAATAAGACAATATATTTGCTTTCACCAGTCAAATAAATCACCTTATTCTCTATTGCAATGTCCCTTTGTATCAGCAAACTTCCGTCACTTTAATGGATTTCTTTGCCTCTCATCCTTTGGATTTCTTTGCCTCTCATCCTGCAAACTCAGTATTCAAGCAGTAAAGCTAGTTAAACCAAAACAGGGCAATGGGAAATCATCTTTCTCCTTTGATAAAGCCTATTCTCTCACATCAAAGTATTGACAGTTTTGTTTCATCACTGTAGGAAAAATGAGAGGAACCAAGAGAACGTCACAGAGAAAAGCTAGAACATCTCATTCATGAAGAGAAGGCACCTGTGCACTGACCCAATTAGGCATTCAAGCACTTGTCACTTTGGAGCTGGCTGGTTGTCACTCATCCAAGTAGCCCCAGGGGATGTATTGTATGGTGGCATTCCCTGACAGGAGAACTGGAGCTATGGAGGCGATGAAGGCACAGTGATAGGGTGCCAGGATCCTGGTGAGTGAGAGCAGCCAGTAGCAAAGCCAAAGAACTTCAGAGTTTCCTTAACTTGATTACCATCCAAAAACCCTTTCAGAGTCTTCAATGGTCATCTTTTTTTCAGAGCAATCTAGTTTAAAAAGCTTACAGTAACAGTCCTCTTTCTCCAAAGATATATTTAACTCTTGAGTGACTAACACAAGAACCGTTTCAGAAGAGATAAAAACCAACCAACCAAAATATCTGCATTTCAGGGAGAGGATGCACTAAATATTACTTTTAATAACACTGCTAGCATTTAATTCAGAAGTCAAAACATTTCAGTGACCATCTTCTCCCTTTCTGTTTTAAACATACTACTGATGCTTTCAGATGCTCTGTCTGCTAGACCACAAAAATGAGGGATAAAACACTGTGCAGCCATCCACGCCTACACACTACAAAAGACAGAAAAGGTCTGTTCTAGTGAACTACACACAATGATGTATTCAAGACCCCCAAATCATATTTGTAGTAAAAAAAACCCAACCAGATACTAAAATACAGATGACTATTCAGCAGCTACTACTCACTTCAAGTAAAGCTACACTTACACTGAAAGAATTATGCAATTCAAACACAAGAGCAGGGAGGGGTTTGTAGGAGGATTGGGGTGGAGAGGGAAACAAAAGCTTACTTCAGAACTTCCAAAATGGGCATTTTAACCTTAGGACCTAAACCATAACAACAAAGACTTCAGAATGTCCCCATCACTAAATCTGTAATCTATGCTAGAAGAAAAAACTTCCAATTTTTTGGTACAACATTTCACATTCCTTCCAAGTCCATTTTTCCAGACTCACTTTTTTACTAGTTGACTTGTCCTGACACCTGTTCTCTTCAGTAAGGAACATCAGACATAAGTAAGTCTACTTTCAATTATGTGAAGCTATGAAATACTTTTAGCTGCTTTTCTAGTTGACATATTTGATATGTGCCCTTCAGTTAAAAGCTGAGTTGAAATTAAAAAAATTATCTGAATCATAGACTGTTAACTCAAACAAACATGGAAATGCATGTAAATGCAGAACATGTTATATGACTACCCTGGATAGTAATTAACAGAAACTAAATTGAAAGATAGAAATGTAACAGATGGAAATTTAATGCCAGTAGTTTGGGGGCTTTTTTCCCAGATAGCATGGGAAAATAAAACTTAGAGGGAAAAATTACCTTACCTTTGTACAAATAACTTCTGAGCAAGATGGTCTATCCTTTTACTTTTCCTTCTTTCTTATCCCCTGTATGACAGGTCTTTATGTCACTGCTTTGCCTGAAAAAATAATATAGAATCTGAAATATTCATAGAGGTCAATAATCACGTTCACTGCTAAATTACAACAAATACTTCATATATGTCTTGATAAAGCTGCAATACTAAATTCAGTTAAGTCAAGTGGAATAGTAGAATATATATGTTAGGCCAAAGAAAAAATAAAAACAAAAGCAGCTCCCTAGGTTTTAAAATCATGTTCTGCATTTAGCTCTCCAAAATAGCCAGTTACATGAGATCAAACCGGAGCACCCATACAGTTATCCAGGTTCACTGTACCATCAGTGATAAACAGTCAGTGCTCCACAAAGTTTGAGCAAGCCAATAGAGAAGCCTAACCACATCTTTTCAATGTCCAGTAACCCAACTTAAGGCACACTGGGTACCTCTGTCTCCTCAGGACTAAACACTTCAGTGCTCTTTGGGATACAGATGCCAAAGCTTCTAAAGACGTCTACTGGAAGAGGTCATAGCAGCTGACAGCAAACATCTATTGCAGGAAAAGCCTTTGGTCACAGAACTTGTCCGGAAAGACAGAGATGTGGCTTATAGGCAACTTGTAATCTGCCTGATCTCCCACCTTCTAGGAGAATATTCTATATTCTAGTGAAAGGATGGGACTGACAAACACCCTCTAATTTAAAAGCACAAGACAAAGAAAGAGAAAACAGCAGGAGAGGTTTGTTTTGAATTCAGCTGCTCCTTTCCTTCATTTATTCACAACAATTGTACATCCAATTCCTCTTGTCTCTTACTTTTTGTTACTTTAACCTATTTTAAACACATTCAGTATTTTGCTGAGAAGAAGGTTGCTTATCTTTCCATGGTAGTAATGCCTATGTGGAGTTGAATTTTCAAGTTAGCAAGGTTCAAGTAGGATCAGGAATTTTGAAAGTGAACTTCAAAAATTTTCTAACTGAGGATTTCCCTTACAGTCTTTTAATTTTACAGCACATTTTGCTCACCTGAAAACTCAGCAATGTTTGCCATAATATGCAGTCCTTATTTCAGTGAACTGGTGCTGAACTGGAGCGAACAACAACAAATTAGCATCACTGCAGTACCTTTTATTTTGTGTACTGTACATAAAAGTATGTACATTTTACCTGTAGAATAGTAATTAAAGTTCCTTGTTTACTCTTAACTGCAGATTGGCACTGTTTTGTAAGGTAAACCAGGAGAAACTGCAACATCTCGGCTTACAGCAGTGATACAGGAAGATCAGTTTAATTTCCCATCAAACTGATAATTCAATCATACAATTTCTTTCTGTATACTTTTAAAAGCCTTTTATTGTTAATTTGGTCTGCTAGTAGGCAAAACCTTAACTGTTGACTAGAAACTACAACTCTCTTGTAGCTTTTTTTTTCCAGTAACAAACAACGCTTCTCATCAACTGATTTTTATCATGCTCTTTTCAAAACAACTTGTTGCTCTTACATAATAAAGCACTGGAAATAATACATTATCTTTGTAACCTCAGGAGTTTTGGGATGTATAATTTATTTCACTGGGGTGAAATTCACTTTGGAGATTCACTCCATTGCCTTCCTCTTTCTTCAGCACTCAAACCGCTTGCAATCCCCTGCCTCTATATTCAGCTGGAACAGCTCCCTGCAAAACAGCGGGACCTTGATGAGCCAAAGGCAACACAGAACTTGCATTCAGCAGTGCTACATGCGTGCAACTCCTAATTGGCCACGGCACAATCTGACAATGATCACACAGATCCTACTATATCCAGGTAATGGCTATATCTACCCTGCCATTAACGCTGCTTCCTGGTTGGTTCGGTCCACCAACTCACTGTCTGCAAGAAAAAAACAGAGCATGCTTTAGAGAATGTTCCAGCCCAAAAGAACTCTTCCAAACAAAAGCATGGACAAGACTGCCTTAAGTTTTGATTTTCCACTCCAGGCAGCCCTGTAATTCTCCCATGCCAGGCACTGCATCCTCAGTTGCAGCCTCCCCTTCCCTCCATGGGACACCCTGCAGCACCCCACAGATTTACAGTATTAGGCTGCACCATCATAACGTTGATGGGCTGCAACATAGACCTCACCATTCCGGGTACTCTGAACTAAAGGACACCAGCTACGTATTGGGGCTGCAGAAACACCACAGCACCCAGACAACACTCAGATCACAGCCAGTCTGCTTTTTCTAAAGCATTAAAATGCAGATGCAGACCAGCCCTTGCCAACCAGCCTACCTTGATAACAGGAATTTGTCCCTGACTTGTTATTACCAGTAAAGAACATCTGTAGCCTCAAGGACATTGTTTAAAAGTTACACGTGATCTGAAACCCAGGGATGACTTGTGTAAGACCTCACATACAGCAGAAAACCACACCTCTGTTGACACTGCAGGTAATCTTTTGCAGAATGGTAAAACTCATTAGAAGATGGGGAAAAACTTAATATGAAAGGAAAAATCAAGAAGGGTAAAAAAGATGTTTTTTTTAAAAAGTCTGCAGATTAGAGGAAATATGTTTTGAAATTTATTAGATATATTTGGGGTCATGTAATCTGCTTAGCCACTAGCATACTGTGGAAATGTAAAGCATACTTTTTACTTTTCTGCACTTGACATTATGTTACTGCATATTTATTAATTTAAAAATTTGCGAAAGAACTACAATTTACATAGTATTGTTGCTTTTCTAGTAACAGCATTGAGAGGCTTCGGAAAAGTTAAATTTAGAATAAGAAATACATAGGTTGCAATACGTAACTATGCAAAAAGTTCAAATGTAAAAAATCCATTTTTATTTTATAATCTGATTGGCTAAATGGTTTTATATAAAATGTATTCAAAAATATTCCTTAAAATGTCAAGATATTTTTAATGTAGCCTTAAGAAGCCATAGTGAGACAATATGCAGCTTTCTCCTAAAATTAATAATATATCTATATACACATAAAATACAATTCAGTTTCTGTTTACTTTACAATACTGCAGAAAGTTCTTTAACACAAAATGTTTGCTTTGTGACATATAAAATTCATTCAGTGTTTTTAAGCACAGTTTTATGCGATCCAGTACTTCAGAGCTCCATTGTTCACCCTCATGTCCATTCTTTCAGAACTAAGGAGTAATGAGGAACTCTCAGAAAAGGAGAAACTACTGCGTTTGGTTGATGAGGGCAGTGATCCATCTTGCTGTCATATCTTTCTTATTTCTGGGAGTGTTCAACCCCAGATGATTCTGACAAAGTAGCAATGGAAAAAAATATCCTGGAAATACAACAAAAGCAACTTTTTGGGTTTTCATTTCTGATATACACATTGTCATGAAGACATTTCCCAGGGAAAGTATTCCAGCCTAGATTATCCATAAGAACAATGCCCAAATTTTTACACATATTATACTAATCAATAGTATAGACTTCATGTGATCTTTAACATGTTGCAGTCATGCCCTCCCTTCACGGATAGAAATTATAACTGCATTGATTTCAATCCTGAGACTAACTAAAGTCAAATGTTTCAGTATGTTACATGGAGTAGGTTTATTCTGTTCAGAGTTATAGCCTGCATTTCCTCATGCTACTTCATTCCACATAAATCAAACTAACTAACACTATGATAGATAAATCTCAACTATGTAAGTGATTGAGAAGTACCAGAATAGAAAAGGGAACTTGGCTGTTACCTTGTGCATGTAGCTATACAGCTGTCTTGGTCCTCTTCCTTTTTTGGTGGGTTACTTTTTCCTTTCTTTCTGTTAGTGAGAGGTAAGAATTTGTACCATGCTCCTCTTCATGTTGCAAACTTGACAAAACTCTGCTGTTAAGCCCTGCTGTTGCTGGCCTGTGTGCAAAGGCACGCACAAAAGGAGCCGTTTCCAGCAGCCCGTCGCTTTGTCCTCAGCCCTCCCAAGCTTCTGTGTGATCAGCACAGGCTTTGTGGCCATACAATAGGGGTTAAACATTTCCCTGTATTTATATAAAAGCAGAGCTAAATCTGCTTAGCTGCATGAACCTTTTAATAAAATGATGCACACGCTACTAGGGTATTTTTCCATTTGTTTCTGTGTTTAAGAGTAATGGGGTTCTATTAACAAAACAAAAAAATATATATGGTTTCTTTTCATTATATGCAGTGCATAAAGTATGCAGCTGGTAAAAAACAACATTAAGATTTGTATCCAGATCTTACCTTATCCACAATTTCCCTCTAAGCAACTACCTGTAACTTGCCTCTTAACTTAGAGCTATAGTTTAATTTTTTCTTTACATTCATTCTACTTGATGACTTGCCAGTGGGACAATCCTCTGGCCTCCATCAACAGTGTCTAAGAGGCAGACCACTGCAAAAACTACAATATGTACTCAGTGGTGAAATTCCAGTGTAAAGAAGAAAATTTAAATGTACTGAGATACAAAAGAAAATATTTTAAAGAGTCAAATGTGCTTGCCTACAGTACTAAAGACATTGATTTCACACACCACGTTAACCTCTGGACCACCTTTGCTTTCCAAGAAACTACCTTAAACAGTACAGAACACTGCCATTTTTCACAACTCCTGAAGAAAGAAACACTATTTTAAAACTGTTGTTTCTGTTCTGCCATAAATCCATAATTTTCTTTTTTTTTTTAATTATTAGTATTTTCAAGTCCAGTTAAAACATTTCTACCTTTAAGGGCTTTTCATCTTTTTATAGGTAACAGAAAGAATTCTGTTGGACTTTATTAGCACCAGCATTAGTTCACAACAATAACCTCATCTGGTCCTCTGAAACCTACTCTGTTTTCAAGGCTTATTAGAACAATGCTTTTCCTCACAAAAGCATGAGCTGTACTTAAGAATCTACTTCAAAGCAGACTGCCAGCAAGGTTCAATAATGACTACATCCACCTGAACTCTTAAACTTGCTGAAATAGAACCAGAGTATCCTCCCAAGTCACATATATGCTGCAATTCTAGAGCTGCCAACACTTAAGCTGAGAAGGACAAAAAAAAATCCTAGAAAAACAGAAGTTACAATTAATTTTT